GAAATTTTTTAATTCATTTTTCACGAGTTGATCACGGATTGATATCAGTTGCAGAACCACTGAAAATCAGGGAGTATTGGACAGCTGTTCTATCCTTGTTTGGGAATCATCGGCAGTACGCACTCACTGGGATTCGAACCCAGGACCTTCCGGTTACAAGGCAAGCTGGCTCGTGTACCATTCAGCCACTGGGAACTGATTCAATGGCTCATGAATTCTAACTTCTACCAATTCATGATTTAGCGTGACCTCAACCAATTTCGTCGGTGGGACATCCATCCTCACACACTTGGACTTCACTGGTCACGACTTCTCACTAGAACTCCAGAAAACTCCGCTCTGTAGCAAGTCAATAGCGAGAATCAGATTAATCTTCTATAGTTGGGGTCACTCTAAATCACCAATCGGTGGAAGTTAGAATCGGGTCCCAATAGCTGCATGGTATACGAGCCAGACTGCCTTGTAACCGGAAGGTCCTGGGTTCGAACCCTGGCAGTGTGTGCGTACTGCTGACGATTCCCAAACTAGGCTAATGAAACAGCTGCCCAGTACTCCAGTGCTGGTTTTCAATGGTTCTCTAACTGATATCAATCCGCGATCAACTCGTAAAACAAAACATAACTAACCCTTACAAACCAACTATGAAAAATTCATTTTTCAACGAGTATGCAGCTTTTTTTTCATCTGAATTCTGATTGGTCACTCAGCATCACTGAGAAGCATGGAGTAAATTGTTTTCACAACGGTATAGTAATAAAACACATGACCAGTCATCTTGACTGGAGACTAGTTAGTTGCTAATGTGCACTGTGAATTGTTGGTATTAGATGGTTAGAGGCAATCGGCATGAGTTCCTTCAAGGTTGCAGATACGCCTTACTGACTGACTGACTGATGAGTGCCAACTAGCACGAAACCTAGTTCAGGCAAGGCTTCCTTTTGATTGCCCCCAACCTTCTGATAAATGACCAGTCAGTTGTTAAACTGATCGTAAAGGAAGCTCATACAGCTGCAGAAGTGGTGTAGGCTGAAAGGCTGAAGCTATTGCAATAAAACAACTTGCTCTTTAACTTCTGATTTCGTCATTTTGTTTTAAAACCTCACCCGTATGGTCCCATTTTCCGTTTGGCTTTCATAATGGACTTAACGTTTGGTCCTACGAATTCTACTCAGTGTATTACACATTCATCCTTTCACTAGACTTTGTAAACACTACATTTTGATTTTCCAGTCTTATGAGTTCTAATCAGTGTATTTTATTATGTATGATTATAGAGTTGTCGCTGACCTTAGACCACTGTAACAACAGAATCACTCTTACAATATATATATATATATTCCGTAATGATTTCAGATTCTTTATCACTCTTACGATTTCTTTCACCATGACCTTGATTATTATTATTAATGTTTCCTTTAATTCCTAGAGGAACATAGGGCTTCATCCGTCCGTCTCCATTGCGTTTGGTTCTCTGCTAGAGTCTTCACCTGGCTCCAAGTCTGCCCACACGCATTCATCTCGTCTTCACATGGCCTCCTACAAGTCACCCTCACCCTCGCACTGACGACCAACTTGCCACTTCCCTTTCGGGATCCAGTCGAGCAATGGCTTGTCTAGTGATGTCATTCACTTGATGGTTTTCTCAGAGTGTGGCCACAATCCATCTCCATTTCTTCCTTCCTATTTGTTTCAAAATTGGTTCCTGCTGTGTTGGTTTGCTCATTGCCAGAGATCCCATCCTGTTGCTGATCCTTACTGGCCGGCCGGCCATCTGATCTTGAGTGGTGTTGAGCGAAGACAACTAGCTGTTGATGAAGGTCTGTAGTTTGTATATATATATATATACATAAGGTATACAATGATGTGTGTGCATGTGTGTATGGGTAAACAGTTGTAAACCATTTGTTAGCCTCCCCATAAGAAGATAAAGATTATCGGGAGTTTAGATCAAGTATGACTGATTAGTGTGAACCAACCGAGAACCAACTATGTAACAAATATGCCCGGAAGAAATGGAGGTGAACTAGCCATACTCTGAGAAAACCATCAAGCAATATCACGCGCCAGTCTCTCTGTCGAGTGGAACCCGAATAGGAATCGGCGAATGAGTTGGTCGTCAGTGAGAGGGTGACATGGAGTAGGTCATGAGAAAATGAGATGAAAGTATGTGGATAGACGTGGAGACAGGTGAAAACGCTCTCTGAGGACCGAAAGCAATGGACAAGTGCGGCTGAAGCCCTATGTTCCCCCAGGAACTAAAGGAAACAATGATAATGACTGGTTAGTGATACATATCCATTTTTTATTTATTAATCAGGACTTCCTATGCATCAGCCAACACCCCATACCTTCACGTCTGTCCAAACTGTTGGGATTCACCCATACATGTATGGCTTCTGCAGTCAGTCATTCTTTATACGAACCTTGCTCCTATCATTAGCGTTGATCTTGTGAAGGTTAAGGATAAAATGGAAGAAGACAACCAACAAAAAATGTGTGTACCATATCAGTTGTGGGAATTGTGACGCCGTATATGTAGGAGAAACTTTCAGACAGGTAAATAAAAGAGTGAAGGAGTATAAACAATGTCTAAAGGTGGTTCCAAAGACCCTTGCAGTCGTGAAGAATCTAAAAATAGTTCAGCGGTTGCACTGCATTCGATAGAAATTGGACACAATCGACATCGACGCTAATGATAGGAGCAAGGTTCTACAGAAAAGTCTCGATTCGTATTGAGAAAAACTGACTGCAGAAGCCACACATATCTGGGTGAATCCCAAAAGCTTGAACACACGTGAAGGTGTGGGATGTTGGCTGATGCATAGGGAATCCTGATTAATAAATAAAAGATGGATATGTATCACTAATTAATCATACTTGGTCTAAACTCCCGATTGTTTATATCTTCTTGTGGAGAGGCTAACGAATGATTTCCAATTGTTGTCGCATGCACACATGCATTATTGTATTTCGCATAAATATATTTGCGATATTCAGTTATACATAACCAGGAACTTTAGTTGAACGTAGTCACCAGAATTCTGATGCAAAAGTACACACTGTTTACAGTATTTAAAAAAAAATGGGCTCATGATGAAAATCCTCCATGCAATTAAACAAAATCCCTACCAAACGAATACTTGAAAAATTAATCTGATGCTCACTAGTGACTGGCCCTATTCAGGCAGTTAACCTGGGGTTCTAGTGGGAAGCCGTGACCAGTAGGGTACAGCAGGTTGAGGATGAGGCAGTAACTCATCTAAGAAGACATTGCGAAATGGTCGCGCTATGTCGTGAATTGGCAGAAGTTAGAATTCAAGGACCATTGGATCGGGTCCCAGTGGCTCAGTGGTCTACGAGCTCGCCTTGTAATCAGAAGGTCCTGGGTTCGAATCCCGATGGGCGCGCACTGATGAAGAGTCCCAAACTAGGACGAAACAGCTGTCCAGTACTCCCAGGTTTTCCAGTGGTTCTCTAACTGATGTCAGCTCATGATGAAAATCCTCCATGCAATTAAAATTTGTAAGTCTGGGGTGAAATTTTGATCACAGTTCATAAAAATTTTGTTTAATTATGTATCTTGTTGCCTGTTTCATGACTCATATAATTGCACACAGTTTTTAAAAACAAGAGATGTTTAAAATAGTTAGTCCCTTTTATAAATTTTAATAACATTATTATAAAAATATGCTTCACTGCAAACCTCAAAAGTGCACAAATGATTATGTCACATCCCACACTATTTACCAATTTTCGTGTGTGTGTGTGTGTGGACACACATACATAGGGAGGAGTGATCGCGCGTTGCACGTGAGGGTGGGAGAGCATATCCCAAAATGTTAGAAAAACAGATGAATTGTGACAAGCCATTAGATGCAGGTGTCAGACTACCAACTTCGTCTATAGCTAAACATCTAATCGAGATGAACCATAAGGTTGATGTTAACTCAGCCTTTAAGGTCATCTATAAAAACGGTCAAGGACGTTTACTGAAATACGCTGAGGCTATAGCCATTCATAAAACAAGCAATTAAGGTTAATAAAGCAGGATTTAATGAATTCATCAAATTTTGGTAGAGTGTATTTGTGGAAGCAAATACATAGGTCGTATGGAAAGGCGATTGTCTACTCGCATGATGGAGCATTTGCCAAAATGGTTGAAAACAACTGAGTGCAAAGTGCCAAAATCCTCAATCACAAAGCATCTTGTGGATTACGGACATGATATCGACGCGGTCAAGTCATTCACTATTGTCAGCAGACAAAGGAACAAGAAGGTGCTTGCAATTGCCGAGGAGGATTGTGCAATTCGAGTTTATAAACCAGGTCTCTGTGTACAAAAGGAGATGGTCGTGACTCTGAATCTACCATGGTAATACGCTTTATTTATTGTTCTACCTCTTATTATTATTATTATTGTTATTATTCTCATTATTCTTGATTCATTTAAAACTATCCTTTATCAGTAGGATTATCTTAACTCACTTCAACACTATTATTATTGTTGTTATTATAACTATTACTATTGACATCACTCTGGTTGCAATTCTTGTTATATTCTCTAATGACTAACTGTTTATCTAAGTGATGTGTAACTGAAGCGTAATGCAATTTATCTTAATTTTGATCTCCCATACTCTCTCTCCCCTTATCTAATTGAACATGACCTGGAAAACATTCGCACCTGTCTTTCTGCATAACTAATTCAATGTAGTTTGTTTACTTATCAATCCAATATCTCCCTATTTAATTTCAAAAGTATATATATCCGTGAATGTAGAGTATTCAGCTGACGAGTTCTACCGAAATTTGATGTATTCGATTAATTTCCCTGAAGTAGTTCGCACCAGTTTGTTGAACGTAGGAGATGTTGGAATTACTCATTTTTAATTTCGCTGGGATTTTACAAATATATAACATATTAACAATATGGGATGACATGGCTATTTTGTTTATTACTGTCTAAAATACTGAAAAAAAGATCAGACACAGTCACTTACTAGTTAAACTTCTAACATAGGCATTAACAAAATCATTGTAGGCATACTGTTCCTCTTTAGATAAATTGCCCAAATACGAATCTTGTACTGATAAAGCTGGATAGAAGAGTGATTCCACGCAGTCTTTAAATGGAGTTAAAAATCCTTCACGTACATCATACTTCATTGTAAAAACATCCTATGAAAGAGAAAAGCATTTATAAGTGAGAATGAAGAACACAATTTAAAAAATAATAATAACAATAACAATAATTATTGAATATGACAGAAACACGACATCCAGATAACCAGAAATATTAGCTCATTTGTTGCACTTAGTATATATATATATATGGTAACACCACCGAGCAGTTTGTTCAACTCCTCACCGTTGCGGAAGGCCAATTGCAAGTGACGAGGGATGATACGAGTCTTCTTGTTGTCTCGGACGGCATTACTAGCCAATTCGAGTACTTCGGTGGCCAGATATTCGAGAACAGCCGCCAGGTAGACGGGTGCTCTAGTACCGACACGTTCAGCGTAGTTTCCCCTGCGTAGAAGACGATGCACACGACCAACTGGGAACTGAAGACCAGCATGAGCAGACCGAGTCTTTGCCTTCGCTCGAGACTTTCCACCTCTGCTGCGACCACTCATGATTGTACGTTAGAGCAGAGAAACGTGTACCGTCGAAATGTAGGGACGCCGTGATGGAGCTCACAATTTGACCAATCAACCGGTCGAGATTTGTGAAAGTAGGACGTTCAATATCTAAGTTGCGTCTACAAATATCATATATAGCTTCGTTGTCCATCATAAATGCGCAGTCTGAGTGTTCTAGAGTCGTGTGTGTTGTCAAAATTGAATTGTATGGCTCCTCTGCGGCAGTGGCGATTTGAGGTGCTGGATACACTGCGAACTCTAACTTGGACTTCTTGCCGTAATCAACACTCAGACGCTCCATCAGTAGACATGTGAATCCAGTTCCAGTGCCTCCACGAAATGAATGGAATATGAGGAAAGCTTGCAACCCTGTGCATTGGTCAGTTAATTTTCGGATACGATCCAGAACCAAGTCTATTATTTCTTTCCTAATGGTGTAATGACCTCTAGCATAGTTATTGGCAGCATCCTCCTTTCCAGTTATCAGTTGTTCAGGATGGATTAGTTGGCGGTAAGTACCAGTTCGCGCTTCATCTACAAAAGTTGGCTCCAGATCAAAAAAAAAAACACTGCTCTTGGAACATGTTTCCCAGCCCCTATTTCAATGAAGAATGTGTTAAAAGAGTCATCTCCACCACCGATAGTCTTATCACTTGGCATTTGTCCATCAGGTTGGATACCATGTTCTAGGCAGTACAATTCCCAGTAAGCACTTCCCATCGGAACTCCGGCCTGGCCAACATATACACTGATGCATTCACGCATTTTCTATTGAGCAGCAACGAACGGAAGCCGACTGGAAATTATGATGATATATATATATATATTAACTGACATTTCGTTTTGGATACTTGTCACCAGGTTGAATACTTCTTTTTTAAAAGTGTTTTCCCATACTTTACCTTCATTTACTTTTTTATATTTGTAAAATATAAAGGTGCTTATCAAAAAACTCATCATACAGATTTGAATAATTTATGGGTTGGAACGCATAGAAATCGGTGAGAAAGGTAAATAAGCATCGAATTTATCATTTGGGAATTAGACAACTTTGAGGTTAGGGAAAATTCGTCTACGTTTCCTTTTGCAAGCCTAAAATATTTCATCTGTTTGACACTAGGAATGCCAATCAAAGGGAAGAAGAAAGCCATGTAGCACAATGGTATATACTTCTGATTGGTTTGAGTAATTGTCAGCTAGCTAGCCTTCGACAGCGTCGATCGAGAAGTGCCGCCAACAATTATACACCTCAGCCATCCAACAGTTGTACGACAATCCTGCATGCCAAGTAATCCACAACGGAGAATTCACGGAATCCTTAGAAGTGGAGACGGGAGTAAGACAAGGCTGGCTGGCTGCCTCCTAACTCCAATGATTTTCCTGATTGCGGTAGACTGGATAATGCGACAGATATCGGGCAGCAAGGAATCAGGCATAGAATGGAAACACACAAAAACCTTGCAGGATCTGGACTTAGCCGGTGATATGTGTCTGATTTCCGACAAACCGGAAGATATGCAAATGAAAAGCAGCAAGTTGGCAGGTGAACATGGAGAAAACAGAAGTGATAGTGAAGATTCCCGGCCAACAGCAACAACCCCAACAACAACAACAGACAACAATCAGCAGTCAGCATAAATGGGAGAAATCTGAAAGAAGCAACTTCCTTCACCTACCTGGGAAGCATCGTTCCAACTAAAGGTAGTTGGAACTCATGAGGATATCAAAGTGATGATCGGGAAAGCAAGACAAGCCTTCATTGCAATCAAGTTTGTGTGGAGGTCAACACTCAGCACTACTCAGCATGAAAATGAAAATAAGATCCAGATTTTCAACTCCAATATGAAGTCAGTGCTACTTACTATACGGATCAGAGACTTGGCGCGTCACTAAGGCCACTTCGAACAAACTACAGACTTTCATCAACAACCGTCTTCGCTCAATACTTCGCTGAAGATCAGATGGCCGGCCGGCTGGCTGGTGAGAAAAGATCAGCAACAGGGTGGGATCTCTGGCTATGAGCGAACCAACCCAACAGGAGCCGATTAGGCAACAAATATGCTGGAAGAAATGGAGGTGAACTAGCCATACTCTGAGAAAACCATCAAGCAACATCACACGCCAGTCTCTCTGTCGAGTGGAACCCTAATGGGAATCGGCGAATTAGTTTGGAGGAAGTAATATGAAGATGAGATGAAAGTATGTCGTTAGGCGTGGAGCCAGCAGAAAACATTATCAGAGAACCGAACGGAATGTAGGCGTGCGGCTGAAGCTCAGTGTTCCTCTAAGAACCAAAGGAAACAATAATATAATAATAATAAGCCACCTACGTCAAACAGTATGACTTGCTAGTCAGACAGAAGTGACTGAAACACCAGGCAGCCGATTTTTACTCACAAGCCATCTACCTGTACCTCGCCAAACACTTTTGCGGAGAAATGATGAGATGCCCTCTACTTTTCTTGCATGTCAACACACTGACACAACTGAGTCGCATGACATGAGTTAGCGTTCAATCAAAGTAGCTAATACATTACCAGAGCAGGTCAATCGCAAGCCTGAATAGCACAATTTAATGGTATCTGGATGCGTCTCCAGGTAACATGGGTTCGAATCTCAGAGGGGAGATGAATTGCTGACTGGTGAGAGTCAACAAACACGAAGCCTAGCCTAAAGGCTTGCCGATGGCCGATTGCCTCCAACCATCTTACACCAACAATTCACAATACACCTAGCATGAGATGTTCACATTGCAAACTTGACCGATAAAATTTAGGCGGCACCAAACAAAAGACTAGGCGCATGATACTACAAATATTTGCAAAATAATATTTAGTGACGAGAAAACATATCTGCATTTGTTGGGGTATTTCATCAAGAGCTAAAATCAGTTAGAAAACCGTTGGAAAACCAACAAAGAATACTGAACAGCCAGCTAATTCGTCAGCCTAGTTCGGGACTCCTCGTGAGCACACACCTAACACAGAGAGTTCGAACCCAGGACCTTCTGGTTACAAGGTGAGCTAGCTCGTAGACCAATGAGCAGCCACTGAGACCCGATCCAGTGGTGACTCAGCCAGTTCATGAATTCTAACTTCTTCCAATTCACGCAGGTTATAGTGCGACCACTTCACAATGTCTTCTTCAATGATATCAGCTCATGATGAAATCCTGCAACCAATCAAACAGAATTCTCTACAAAACCAATACTTGAAAATATCTGTATCATTCAGAGTAGTCTATACTTCACACTATACAACTCATCAAATATTTCGTTCAAAAGAGTTAGTATATTGCATATTATGTGTTTACGACATTCAGAGAAGAGTTCATATATATATTATTGTTTCCTTTAATTCCTAGAGGAATATAGGACTTCAGCCACGCGTCTCCATTGCGTTCGGTTCTCTGCTAGAGTCTTCACCTGGCTCCAAATCAGTCCACACGTTTTCATCTCCTCTTCACATGACCTCCTCCAGGTCACCCTCACCCTCGCACTGACGACCAACTCGCCGCTTCCCATTCCGTTGGGTTCCACTCGGGCAATGGCTTGTCTAGTGATGTCACACACTTAATGGTTCCTCACAGTATGGCCACAATCCAATCCATCTCCATTTCTTCCTGCCTATTTGTTTCACAATCGGTTCCTGCTGTGTTGGTTCGCTCATTGCCAGAGATCACATCCTGTTGCTGATCTTTTCTGGCCGGCTGGCCATCTGATCTAGAGCAGTGTTGAGCGAAGACAACTGTTAATGAAGGTCTGTAGTTTTTTTGAGGTGCTCTTCATGACGCGCGGTGCAAGTCTCTGATCCGTATAGCAAGTAGCACTGACTGACTTCACATTGGAGTTGAAAATCCTGATCTTATTTTTGATGCTGAGTGCTGTTGACCTCCACACAGACTTGAGAGTAGTGAAAGCTTGTCTTGCTTTCCCGATTCTTGCTTTGATATCCTCTTCAGTTCCGTTTGCCTGTAATTGAAACGATGCTTCCCAGGTCGGTGGGTAGGTAATGGAGGTTGTTTCTTTCAGGTTCCTTCCATTTATGCTGATTGTTGTCTGTTGTTTTTTCTGCTATTGCTGTTGTTTTTGGCCAGAAATCTTCATCACCTCTGTTTTCTCCATGTTTTCCTGAAGTCCTATCTTCTCTGGATACTCCTTATGTCAACTTGTTACTTTTCGCTTGCATATCTTCCAGTTTGTGGGAAATCAGACAGACATATATCATCGACGAAGTCCAAATCTTCCAAGTCTCTTTTTGTGTGAGTCGATTTTATGCCTGTTTCCTCATTGCCCGCTGTCTATCGGTCGCATTATCCAAACTACTGCAATCAGGAAAATCATTGGTGATATTGGGCAGCCAGCCAGCCTTGTATTACTCCTGTCCTCACTTATTAGAAGGATTCCGTAAGTTTCCCGTTGTGGATTACTTGGCATGCAGCATTGTCGTATAGCTAAGTGTTGGATGAGATGTATAAAACATTTATATGAGCACTTTTTTTCATGTTCTCCTCGCCCCCTCCCATGCCCCCCCGGCC